GGGAAAGAGTTGTTTTTACTTTGGAAAACTTAAACCTATTTTCTGATAATAAAAGACAAGCGTGCATGTGCTAGAAAACTGGGGAAAGAACAAAGAAGGAAAAGCAGTCCCCCATAATTACTCACCGAGCCCTGAGCTCACACAGTGCATGCCCGAAGGAGATGAGAGGAAAGCCAGACAACAGCAAGGTTGCGGATGCTGTTACCACCCCACCGGTCCGAGTGTAGGGTTCTGGGAAATGGCTGTTGACATCAGTCCCTATAAATGTGTAAAAAACACCCTGATTTGGGAGTTTTTATTTCAACAGTCAAATGAACGTAAGGCTGAGGACCTGACTTATTCTTTGAGTCTTAATGGTGAACCTGGAAGATAAAAATCACAGAATAATTTGAAATACAGTGGGGCCTTGACTTACGAGTGTCCCGACTAACGAGTTTTTTGAGATACCAGCTGTCTCTCAGCCGATTTTTTGCATTGAGGTGATAGAGTAATTTGAGTTAACGAGCTCCTTAACGAGCTCGGTCTCAGAACAAATTAAACTCTAAGCCAAGGCCCCACTGTACGTATAAATTTTACATTCAGATATGCCTTCTCTACCTGGGGCCAACCATTTTGCTTCAAGCTGGCAGCTGTTTCATGCATGTTTATGTTGCCTTTTGGCCACAGGACCAGCTGGGCATCAGAACAGCCCAGTGGGCATGTGAAGTGTGGGACTTACAGGCAAGGAGCGATTAACACCCAGATAATATGACATAGTGATTGAGAATGCGGTATTCACTTCCCACCCTCTCACTTGCTAAAGGTATGGCCGAGTCAGGTAACCTCCATGTATCAGTCTTCCCATCCATACAATGGGTATCATAATAGCACCTAACTCATAGGGCGATGACATTGGCTCATATGTGCTCAAGTACTTAGCACACTGCCTGGCTCACAGCAAACAGAAGTGTTAGCTTTTATTACTTCTCAGACCCATTGGTTCTTCCCAAGGCTGGTGTCTGTGAGCCCAGAGCCAACGCTTGATTTAGAGTCCGTCTTCTCATGATTGTAGGTGACGTGAGGCCTTGCTCACCCTCGTGCCTGTGCTTGTTGTCTTGCAGCCAGGAGGACGAGGAGGAGGCCTCCTCCAGGTACTACGTCCCCAGTTACGAGGAAGTGATGAACACCAACTTCTCCGAAGCGAGGGAACCAGACCACAGCCCGAGGATGAGCATCTCGCTCCCCTCCTATGAGTCCCTGACGGGGCTGGACGAGACGAGCCCCACGACCCCCAGGGCCGACGTGGAGGGCAGCCTGGGGCACCCACCCGACAGGCAGAACTCCAAGTTGGCTAAACGCCTGAAGCCACTGAAAGTCCGAAGGATTAAATCCGAGAAGCTTCACCTCAAAGACTTTAGGATCAACCTGCCGGACAAAAACGTCCCTCCTCCCTCCATCGAGCCTTTGACTCCCCCGCCACAGTACGACGAAGTCCAGGAGAAGGCCCCCAACGCCCGGCCCCCCGACTGACGGCCCCCCTCTGGGGTGTTCCCTCCGGTCACTCACCCTCCGCACCAACAGCCCCCAACCAAGCCACTCCAGCCACAGTTGAGAAGCGAGGGGACAGGTGCGGACTGAGCAGTTTCGAATGGGGGGTGTGGGTTGGGGAGTCCTGTGAGTCTGGGGTGACGCACGTCCACAGAACCTTCCGTAGCTGGCGCACTGGACGGAGATGCTGCCTCGGATCCCGTGATGCTGCGGACCCCATGGGGGGCGGGGCGGGGCATCTTCCCCGTCGTCTTTCCTCAACTGAATCGGTGACGACAACAGCCTCCTTCCGACCAGGAAAGGTCGCCCCGTGACTGGTGTGGAGTGTGGTTTTGGTTTTGCTCTTCACTGTGACTGTTTTGTTTCCAAAAGAAAAGCTTTGCTCTCTTCTCCGGAGTCCCGAACCAGGTAGAGCAAATAGGACTCAGCTCTGTGGCAAGGGCGTGGGGCCGTTTTGTGAATTAAGCAAAACAAAGGGCCTCTGTGGCAAGGGCGTGGGGCCGTTTTGTGAATTAAGCAAAACAAAGGGCCGGATGACTGTGTGGGGGTGAGGCCCAGGTGGGGTTCTCGGAGCCCGGACGCCGTTGGTTCTTGGAGGGCCCGAGGCCCGAAGATGCTGAAGACCGTGGTCTTCACCGGTACACTGGACTCGTCCCTCCCGTGCAGCGGCAGGAAAGCTGGAGGGGATACTCCGTTCCTTCTAAGATGCCGTGCAGCCGAGCTTTTTATAATAAAATATTTTCTTTGTAGCACATGTGGGTGCTGAATTACTTGAGCAGCTCTCCCAAGACTGGCTTGCGTATGGAGCAATATCAATCATACGAACAGCTGACATGTACCCCACACATACTGTATGCCAGGCGCTGTGCTGAGCACCCCACGTGTGTTCTCCCATGCCGCCTGTTCCCATTGTGTAGGTGAGTCATGGAGGCTCAGGTTCATTAAAGGGCCCGTGCCACAGCGAGAGTAAGAGGCAGGGCTGGGGTTTGAACCCGGCCGTCTGGCTCCAGGACCTGAGTTCTTAAACACTCCACTGTGCAACTCAACATAAAGGGCTTTTCCAGTCGCTGAATGAGGACTGGTGTTCCCCAAGAACAGAGGCAGCCCACAGGCCCCACAGAAAGTTCTGGTGCTGAGCCACCCTAGCCGGTGTGGCTCAGTGGATAAAGCGTCAGCCTGTGGACTGAAGGGTCCCAGGTTCGATTCTGGTCAAGGACACATGCCCGGGTTGTGGGCTTGATCCCCAGTAGGGGGCGTGCAGGAGGCAGCCGATCAATGACTCTCATCATTAATGTTTCTATTTCTCTCCCTCTCCCTTCCTCTCTGAAATCAATAAAAATATTTTTTTTAAAAAAAGAAAGTTCTGGTTCTTAGACAGCAGCTCACTACCTATCTGAACATCCTTCCTACATCTCTGTCCCTGAGAACTGGCCACGAGGCAGCTCGGCCCCCAGAACTGCCGGCCTGTGTGGTCATGCAGGTGGGTGAGCATGTCCTTGTGGGGATGACAAAGGGACTGCCTTCAGGGCCCAGGAACGCAGGTCAACTAAGGAGAACTGCCCAGAGGGTCGCGGACTGGAGGGGCGGGACATCTGGGAAGATAGACCTGGCTCCCAAAGAGCCGTCCTAGTATTGGCAAGCATGGAGGGCCTGTGGGAGCCTGTGTGGCTGGGAGCGCAGTTGGAAGAGTAAATTCTCAGGCCCTAGATGATTCCTAGAAGCTCCCGTGGGCGGGGAGTGGCAGCAGTTAGGAAGTGAACCACTTCTTATCTGGAGGTTGGCAGCAGGTCCTGAAGTTCCAACCTTTCGCTTTCCTGATGCAAATCCTCCTGTATAATAAAAGTGAAGTATGCAAATTGTCCCCTCCACCGGAGTTTTTCTGGTAAGTGACAGGGAGCCGCAGCACATCAATCTCAGATTCTCCAATAATTGATGGAGACCAACTATCAGGGGGGCAAGCTGAGCCAGAGGCAAAGGCAGAGACACCAGAGAAGGAGCACACCATAGGCGGATGCAGATGTATCCAGATCACCCGCCAGATGAATGTAAAAGTCTTTAAAATGGGGCCCTTGCAAGAAGAGGTGGCTCCGGGCCAACAGGGCTGCCCAACACATGAGTCTCATTGACACCCACACCCCCGGGAAAGAGCAGACCCTGGAAATCTGCAGGGTCGAGGAAGGCAGTCAGATGGGTGACATGCTGATGCCAACCAACCAGCCCCACATGCACATGTGGCCAAACATCTCAGTCCCCCGTGCTGCTTACACATCTGCCAACAAGACGTCTCACTTTCCACCAGTGGTTCTCCCCCGGGATTGATGTCCCTGCCCGCGGGTGTTGGCGATGTCCCAGTGGTGGGAGGGGGCCGCTACTGGCATCTAGTAGGGCAGGGATGCTGCCAAACATCCCACAGTGCATAGCACAGTCCCCACCACGAAGAGTTATTCTGCCCCAAGCGTCAGGAGTGCCCAGGTTGAGAAGCCCTGCCTTCGATGAAGGAAGATCCATTCTCCTGGACAGAGGGGCTCCGGTCCCAGAGCCCGGCCACCTGTGTCAGCTCAGTGCCGTCAGAAGTAGGCAACAGTCATCCTCGGAGGTCAGCCAGCATGTGGTCTTGTCTTTTTTCTAGCTGTCATTTTTACAGACTGTTTTCTTATCCCGCTCCAATGTAGAACTTTAAATCGAATTCTCCGTGGCATGATAAAAACCGATTTCCTTTTTTTCTCCATCCCCAGCCCCAGCTCTGCATTAAAGCCTGGAGTTTACTAACTGAGATATAAAGGATGTGGGAAGGACAATGGGCAGGAGTAGTTACAAACGCAAAGAGACTTTGAGAAATAAACTATCGGAAAGCAAACTTGGAACTAAGGACGGTTACGTAACAAAAGAAAACAACTTAGATCAGTGGTTCTCAACCTGTGGGTCGCAATCCCTTTGGGGGTCGAACGACCCTTTCACAGGGGTCGCCTAAGACCATCGGAAAACACATATATAATTACATATTGTTTTTGTGATTAATCACTATGCTTTCATTATGTTCAATTTGTAACAATGAAATTGGGGGTCACCACAACATGAGGAACTGCATGAAAGGGTCGTGGCATTTGGAAGGTTGAGAACCACTGACTTAGATACAATTTGGGGAACAAACATTATGGCTTGACCTTTTCGGGGCTTTATAAGCCTTCTTCTCAGAAAAAAATCCAGCGTGCTCCTCAGGAAATCAGCGGGGCTCAGTGCTGGGAGGCGTGTGGGAACTTCAAACCCAAGAAAATAACTCTTGGCATTTATCCTGGGGATGTCTTACTTGAGAATGCACCCTTGACAGCTGTGGCCAGTCAAGAAAAAATCATTTGCATCTACTGCATCAAAACACAAAAGAGAAATCACCTAGCGATGTGATAGCAAGCTCTCCTTCGACTTTTTGGATAAACGGCGACAAGCCGTGCATATGTGTGTGTGGAAGAGAAACTGTGTGAATACCTGATGGGAACAAGTGAATGGATGCATCTGCCTTATCTGGTTCCTGCCGCTTTCAGAGTCGAACCCAAAACAAAGCCATAAAAA